CTCTAACAACGACTTCAGGTATATCCAACCTGATTAAGAGTATTTGGCACGCTCCTCGTTATATGAATGGTACTACATCACCATTTAAAGGACCTTAAATTTTCCCTGACATTGAGTTTTTAAGGATATTCGAGATGACAATGATCATAAATGAAACCACTGAAGAAAATAGAGTGAAATATCTTTGCACCACCTCCAAAAAAAAAAACACTGAGCCTAAAGCTTTCATTTGGAGCCAATGGGTTGTCTCCCAACTGGGAATACACCACATGTGGCCGGCCTAGAGCTGGGTGATTGAGCAGTTTACTTGATTTGGCACGACCTTTTGGGACATTTAGGTCGAACAATGATGCTACAACACATCTCCTTACCCGAAGTAAGGATCTTATGCCTACAAGCACACTTTACCAAGCATGCTCATTAGGGAAATTGATTTTCTAAATCATTCCTAGCAAAGATACGAAACAACTCCATTTTCGTAGTGGATTCAAGGGAATATATGTGGACTAATCCAACCAAAACGTGGACCATATAAATACTTATGGTTTTGGTTGATGAATCGACAAACTGGTCACATGTTTATCCACACACATTGATGCTAAACCTCTGGGCCGATTATGGGTTAACCACCCTACTTATCCCTAAAGGTCCCGGAGACTGGATAATGCCGGAGTGTTTACATCGACGGTTTTCGATAAAGTATTGCATGTATTTTGGGTTTCTAATTGAACATCGAATTCCCATGTTCACCCCAAATAGCCTCGCCTAGTGATCATAAAGCGCAATTTAAATGATCGCCCGAATTTTGGTAAACGTACCAAGTTTTCAGTTTCTGCCTAGGGCTATGCAATCTTTGTACGCAGTTATGTTGGTTTTCCTTGAGGCCCATTGCCACCCAACCTATATGACGTTACAGTTGGTTACTGGGTACGAACCTGACGATTTTCGTATTTATGCATTTGGGTGTGCATTCCATGTGCCAAGTTGTGCCGCCGCAACATACCACTTTGGGTCCTCAAAGAAGGATGGGAATCTTTTGTCGATCATGATTCTCCTTCACACTAGCTCTATTCGAGCCCTTGCACGCGATCTCTTTATCGCTCATTTGCGGGTTATCACTTTAATGAAACCGTCTTCCCGCCGTTAGGGGGAGATAAGAACGTCAACATTCCTGTAGAACGGTGCGAATTTGCGTGAACATTGCCCACTATGTCTCATCTCGATCCCCATACCGCACAAGTGTGATAAGCAAGTGCGATGAATTCTAGATTTCAGAATGTTGCTTCAGATGCATTTATTTGATCTAGCTAAAGTGACGAGATCATATACAAGCTGCAAACATGCCTGCAAGGATAAACGTACTTAACAGACGTCGAGTCAACATCCCTGGATGGTGTGCCGTCCTTGTTGGACGGTTTGGACGCTCCTGTTGAACGGTCCGGTACACCGACGGATAACCAATCAATCTGTCTTAGCCTGGAGCATGACAGATCATTCGGTTCGTAGGATTCACTTCCCTAGAAGAGGAAGACACGGCACAATAATGAATCTAAACTCGATCGTTGTCGCAAATCATTTCCATCTCATGAGATTAATCCAGATTACTCCCGAGACTTGAAGTTCTTGGTCCAGTATACTAGTTTGGATGAGAAAATGGAATTGAAATGAGATTATCATCGATGATGTTTTCACTTATATGGTAGCTACCGACATAAATGAAAAGCGACGATATCAAACTGTGTTCCGTTGATTAAGTGACAACGTAGAACTGATTAGATAACTAAAGTTACAATCCAGGTCAAATTCCTTACCAAAATGTGTATTGGACCTGTCGTTCCTACACTGCCCAAGGTAACTCCGTTGTGTTACAAATGGGAAAGGAAGCGTTATGAGATGAATGAAATAGTGCGATATGATGCACACCTTACGGCGCAAGGTTTCTCTCAAACGTCATGTGATTAATAGCAGCATTATGAAATGTGGTTAGTGTTTCTCCATGGGGATATTGATACGGAGAATAACATGTAAGTTCCCGAAGAATTACATGGATTGGTTTAAATAGTTCCAAAACCACGGAACACCCTCTTAACTTGTTTGAGACGTTCACTTACAATTCGACAGATATGGTATACCCGTCTTAAGTGATTATTTGATCATTCAGGGATGAATTATGCCCTTGCGAGTTAAACTATGAAGTCTTATTCCAAATTGCTAGAGTTACAGTTTATGTCGTTAAACACGAATCTCACTAAGACTCTAGAAGAGCTTGAGAAACTGACTCGCGCCTGAAGATGGAATTTGAGATGAAGGATCTTGGGAAAACTCACTTGCCTTGACTTGAAGTTAAAGCATTATTCTGACGGTATTTTGGTCTACAAGTCGAACTACACCCCGAATGTGTCACCTTTGAGTATACCTTTGATCGTCCACACGTTATATGTAAATGAAACCCTTGAAGAGGTTATGGAATCCGAAATTCCTTATCTAAGTTCAACTTTGCGCTTCATTGTACTTAGCTCATTGTATTTAGACAAGACATATCCTTCACTGTTAATCTTGGTAAAGATACAGCACCGCGCCTACACGCAACCACTGAATTGGTATTAAAGACATACCCTGAAGGTATTACATGGGCAAATCCCAACGCATCTCAGCGGATCCAACCTTGTTTGTTATGCTGACGCTGGTTACTTATCAAACTCACACAAGGCAAAATCCCCAAATGGTTATGTCTTTACCATTAGGGATATCACAATATCTTGGAGGTCCACGATATAACCTTAGTTGCAAAATCTTTGAATCTTTCCAAGACTCACCTCACTTCACTACGCCACAAGTGAGACATGGTTAGGAGTTCTTGTTGAGCATATTCGAAGTACTTGCTATTTTTCATCTATCGTTGAGTCCCAATAACGATCCATGAAGATTATGCCACATGTATCAACCCGACCAAACCATGATACATCAACGAAGTCAACGCCAAGACATATTGCGTCTACATCTACATCAGTAAAGCATCAAGAGATTGAAGTCATGCAAACCGATCCCAAACAACCTTGCCGACCGCTACACGACGTCACTGCCGAAGTCAACCTTCTGAGGAATTGGTATGCCTAATTATTTGAGTTGAATCGCTTGTAGTTCTCTTATTTAGAAGTTATGTCTAACTCAGGGGAGTATCTAGAAGTATACTCACATGATCTTAATGTACTATTTTTCCCTTCGATTAGGAGCATTTTTCCCAATGAGTTTTTGCTACCTAACTAGGTTTTAACGAGGCACCCATCCTGGGATAATCATACTCCGTTAAGTTCACTACCTTCATCCAGTTTGACGATTGTTTTAGACATTATGCATATTTTCTTATTTTTCTCCTTAGTCTATGGGTTTTCCCCATTCCTTGGGTTTTACCATAGCGAGGTTTTTGTGAGTTTTTACAAATGCATACTTCAAATTAAATTTGAGACTCGCGATCACCCGTTGTGCCGATGACTTCATCAACTATTCTACCTTATCTGCTGAAGATCTGATATGATGGTTTGTTGAGTATTTACACACTCAAGGGGGAGTGTTGCAATCATATTTAGAATATGAATGTGATTGTGTAAATCCTAGGAAATCTGGGAATGTATCTTATATTCCTATTAGGATTAGATTACCTATTAAATGTTGTAATCCTAAAGGGAAAGGTTTTACCCTTCCTACTACTATAAATAAAGGCACAATGGGGTGGAATAACACACACCTCACAATTACACATCTCTCTATTTCTCTCTATCCATGCCGCACCCCTTTCTCTCTATAGCCTCCATAATTGTTCAGTAAATTATGTCTACAACACTATTTTTATTTTACATAGTTTTTTAATTGTAATTATCACTTTTTATTTGTTTACATAGTTTTTGAATTATAATTATCACTTTTTATTTGTTTTGGTCAAATCGCAATGAAGACAAAACCAAATTTGGGTGTTTAGGGTGGTCACGAAAGCAATGGAGGTCTCCTTGCCTCCCTCCACATTTGGTAGATTTTATTTATCATTATTTGTAACAATCATGTCATTTATTGATTGAAATTTCTCCGCATCACTTTTAATTAGGACTATTGGATGTTATAGGATTTAAAAGTTAAACAAAAGTGTAGTATTTCAAATATACTAATAAATAATAAATTATGAAAGAAATATTTTTGTTGCAATCAATAATCAATAGAGTAATAAATAATAAGTAATATAATGATTCTAACTATATTAAAAAAAAAACATAAAAACATCCACCACCGGCCGATGGCGTGGTGAATTTTCAAAAGGCGGTGTGGTCATTTGAAGTAACCACTATAAGCATATCACGTGGTGGTTTTGATATTCCATCACGGGATTAAAAACCGTTGTAGTTTATTCACTTTTAACAACAGGCCAGAATATGACCGTGGTGGATTAATGTTATCTACCACAAGCTACACTTGACCGTGGTAATTGAATAGTTTCTACCACGAGTTGTTGATGCCCGTGATCGAATGGACGTGGTAAATATGTTGTTATGTACTATAGTGAGTAAACAGAATTATTTGTACTAATTCTTCTTCTTCTATTTGAATTTTGAAGAAAAAGAGTGAGAATGGAAGGCAGTTCCCAATTTTATTTAGCAGCTGATACCTAACATTTCGAGGTTGTTTCTAATTTCCAACCGTTGGCCCTGCATATATATATAAATAATGCTAGCCAGACCAAATCTTTTTCACCAAATTATGTAGTTGTAGATGATTGGATTATTAATTAAGTATCCATTAACGCGCTTGTATTGGTGAGACATCATTTGTTAAAAATTTGGTCTCCTAGCATTACCCTATATATATATATATATATATATATTTCAATGGTCATCGTGAAACAAAATATATTACAATTAGGGTTCTGACATTTGCACTGCCACGTGTCTGTTTGATCCATAGATTCGTATGTATAAATCACTCTAATTTTGCGATTAGAAGCTTAACATAATCTGGCAGGATGGATTTCAGACTGTTTGAGGCTTCTCAAACAGGAGATAACCAGCTCTTGCACCAGTTGCTAGCAGAGAATCCACTTCTACTCCATGACCTTGCCCTAACTTCCACCGAGAACCCGCTACATGTCGCTTCGTTTGCCGGACATGTCGAATTCGTTAAGGAGATTGTGAAGTTGAAACCAGCTTTTGTGTTAGAAATGAACCAGGATGGGTTTGGCCCCATGCACATCGCGTCAGCCAACGGTTACTTGGAGATTGTAAGGGAGCTGCTGAGAGTTGACCCGAGACTCTGCCGGATGAACGGAAGAGATGGATGGACTCCTCTTCATTGTGCTGCTGCTAAGGGAAGGGCTGATGTTGTCGGAGAAATGGTTTTGACCTGCCCGGAAAGTGTCGAAGATGTGACTCTACAAGGGGAGACTTCCTTGCATCTTGCTGTTAAGAACTGCCAGTTTGAAGCAGTTAAACTGTTGGTTGAATTGGTCAGGGAACTGAGGAAGGTGAACGTTTTGAATATGAAGGACAAACATGGTAATTCAGTTCTTCACCTAGCAACCTGGAAGAAACTGCACGAGGTTAGTACAATCTGATCAACTAGGTTATCTTTGACTCTTTGGCAAAGTGATATTTTAAGGAAAAAATTTCATTTAACCTCATTCTCCGCCCAATATACTCTCTACGTCTATTTTATTTTTAGACTATTAATATTTCTTTAAAACTCTAATTTACTACCTAAATTATCCTCTCAATTTAATATGTGAATTTATCTTTACGCTCATTTAAAAATAAAATCCAAAATCAAAACATATGTTCTCTCCTCCCAGTAGGTTCATCGTCTTTTCTTTCAATTCTTTATTATTTAATAGAAACCAAAGTTAATAAGAATTGGTGAGAATAAATTTATCATTTAGGTTTACAGAAAGATGGCCATGCTTTTTGTGATTATCATGTTGGAAAAGCTTGATAATACCCTTTTTGCCCACTTTCTGATGCTTTTATGTACATTATTTGGGGCGTTAGAAATTTATATGGAACGAAGATTGGGCGGCCCGACTTGGTCGTCTCTCAAACTATTAAATCGAAAACAAATCAATAAAACACATATATAAATCGATTCATTCTTCAAAAAAAGCTTGTTGAGTGCTTAAGGTTTAAGCCAAAATAGGACGTTAGTAAAAGATTGCGTGATGATAAAGGTTTAATTATTAGGTATGAGTTTATTGATAAATTTTAATTTTCTTGTTATTTCATTTTGTACTTGATAGTAATTATATAATAGCTTAAAAAGCCAATTCACATCTGAAGTTTAAGTTGAGTGTAGAGGTTAAATGGATTTAAATAAAAGTTCTCCATTTTAAATTACTTTAGTTCACGAAGTAAAGATTCAAACTTAAATACAAAAGAGCGGTCACATTGTCTTGAACAACAGATCTAACTCATAAATCCTAGCCTCCCCTTCGAATTTGAAACAAAATGTATTCAAACCTAGAAATGTTGACTTTATTATTTTACTAATGCTATCAATTTGTTAAAGATATACTAAGTTATTTGAAAGAAAAAAAGATATACTAAGTTATTTCATAAATTTTGACCAAATCCAACCTTATCAACAAATTATGAGCCATTGTTAAAAGATGAAAGATACGGAAGGAAATACAATAAAGTTTGGTCATAGCACAAAAGCAGATGTTGTTAGAATAATTGATCATAGCATTGTTTGGATCATTTCCTTGCACTCGAGTTCGAATCTCTATACTTAAAAATATTAGTAGTTTAAAATACTGTTTGAAAAAAAAATGTAATATAAAAAGCTGAGAATCTTCGTAGGTTGTGGAGTGGTTAGTTGGCAATGGAACTACTCCAAGCGCATTGGAAGTAAACATTGTAAACCAGGGTGGTCTCACACCTCTTGATCTTCTACTAGTCTTCCCGAGTGAAGCCGGTGATAGGGAAATCGAAGAGATCCTTCGTAGTGCCGGAGCTTCGAGAGCACAAGACATAAACCATACTCCCTCTCATTGCCCCATGGAAACCAATACCCTTCAGCTGCAGCAGCCAAAAAACTTGATGGAATACTTCAAGTTCAAAAAGGGCAGAGACTCTCCTAGTGATGCCCGCACTGCGCTACTAGTTATCTCTGTACTAGTGGCTACCGCCACCTTTCAAGTTGGACTCAGCCCTCCGAATGGCATTTGGCAGGACAGCTCCGGATCAAACAATAATGGAGCTGGCAGTGGGAGCAATGAACCAGCTGCACACTTAGCAGGGAAGTCCATCATGGGTTCTAACAATGCAGTTGCATTTGTCTTCTTTGTGGCTTTCAACTCGATTGGATTTTCACTTTCACTTTACATGATCAATGTCCTCACCAGCAACTTCCCTCTGCAGTTGGAGCTTCAAATCTGTATCGTTGCGGTCTACTGCACGTACAACTTTGCAGTTACCAGCATTGCACCGGATAACACGAAGCTCATCATAATTGTGGTCACTTCAGTTTTGCCTACTTTGGTTTCACTTGCTGTCCCATGCGCTAGACAGCTTATCATGATCAGGGTTAGAGAACCTGTGCTAAATTGGACTCGAAGGTTCATTTTACAATAGCTGTACACTATGTCTATTTCCGGGATCATATCATCGTTGGCGCATTCATCATAGAAGCTCCAGCTTCATATCCAAGTCACAATCGTTACTATCATCAATACAGTTAATATATTTACTATATATTACGAAATTTCTGGTGTAAAAACTTATATGATGATGTGTTAAGAATTCAATAAGAAAACAGTAAACAGAATTATTTGTACTAATTCTTGTTCTATTTGATTCATGATGGTGTTTGTTCTATAAGTCGACATCCTTGCCAATCGTAATTGAGACTGTCGTTAATTAATATTTATGGCAGAAAGTTTTACATAATGATCATCTTTCCACATTTATCACAATGGCTAGCTATTTTCAATCACAATGACTTGTACTGCTCGATCAGATGAGAAGCATGGAGGCGCGACGTAGGAGCCACAGTGCAGCCCAAACTCTGCTGAGAGCAACTCCACCCTTGGAGCCATTCCCCTGGCAATCCATTATTGAATCCACCATATTGAACAGTAACTGCCTTTAATGAATAGTAACTACCATTAATGAATAGTAATTACATTTTGCATCTCCACCCTTGGAGCCCTCCCCCTGGCAATAGGTAATAAAATAATAGTTTTTTTGTTTGTTTAAATAATATAAAATAAAAAAACACAGGGAAATGGGCTGTAGGGCCTTGGGCTGACACAAAAAACAATAAAAAAATGTCTTGGCCCTCGGTCTGCAGGCTTGTCAACAATCCACTCCCCTTGTGCTCGGGCTCCCACCCTCACTCGGGCCCTCCATGGCTGGAGAAGAATCAACTGGCCCTCGGGCCCCTTCCTGCAGCCCGTCCCCCGAGCAAATGAGAAGGCTGGAGTTGCTCTGATAAGAAATCTAGAAATCAACACTAGAAACATGTTTATTTGGCCTCCTGAACATCCTAGAAACCAACATGTGCACGAGGAAATGCTCCTGAGAGCATATACATGCATGTGGACTTACGGCACTGACAATTGAATATGATCTACAAACAATGATTGGAGCAAATACATATATAAATTCCCCAATGTTTCATTAATGGAAGTTCTAGAATTGATGTATCAAATGTCCTACGTTGAGACGGCGATCAGGCAAGGTGTTCTAGAATTTGGCTCAGAAGTCGAATCATAAGAATTTCAAACAAAAAGCAACGGTTGCTTTACAAAACCGACCTATAAAAGGTACAACAGAAAACATAAACAGTAATCAGAACATCAAGCATCACCATTCACATTGCCTCCAATTCAAAGTTGTCTAAAGGAAAAACAGTAGAGTTCTCATCTATCGTCAATTATTATTACGGTTATTGGTATTTTCTCCAGTTGTAGGAAATAGTTTTTAGGTTTGATTTCTGTCCGTAGCGAGTTTTATACCAAATTATTGTGGCATGTTCATTTTGTGGCTTAACCCAAATTCTCCATCCCATAATGTATAGGCGGCCTAATATTTTTAAGAATACTGTTTCGAAAATGACCATATGCAATTACACTTGCCTCTATTGCTACGATGGATATAGAAAATAAAAATAATTTGAAAGAGAGTTGTACACAACTCACTCTGCAATTAGATTTGACGATAGACTAAACTGCCGATTTTCTCCTGAACTTTCACTTAGCTTTCGATTTTGCTGCTAAACTTTTTAATTGGAAAATCAAGAACTTAAACTTCTTTTCTTTTCTTTTTTTTTCCCAATTTCCTCCTACCGTTAGTTTTTTTTTTTTATAGATTTCATCCAAATTAATGTTAACTCTTATCATGTGCACACCACGTGACTCTCCTAGGGTTATCAATTATTTTAAAGACTACCCTCAGATGTTGTGCGCATCAGAAATTTGGATGAAAATAATGAAAAACTAACATCAGGGGGAAATCGGTCAAACAAATTAGTTTGAGTCCTTAATTTTCCAATTGAAAGGTTTCTGAAGAAAATCGAAAGATAAGTAAAAGTTCAGAAGAAAAATCGACAATTTATTCTTCAACGTAAATACCAAATTAGACTTGTTTAGCCCACCTTTTCTATCCCTTTTAATGTAAATTTGTGGTTGTAATTAAAAAAAAGTTCACAATTTGAAAGTGTTGTTGGGTGAACCATTATCTCCAGCCTTCTACAGTCTACTTGCCGACAGTTTTTTTTTTTTTAAATGATAAATTTTGTTAGATTAGTTATCAAATGGTTCAAACATCCGCTATTATACAAGAACTTAACACATTTTCACTAATACAATACAATATAGATTTTTTAGTACTTCTAAAATATAAAATAGTGGACATGTTATTATATAAGTAGAACACCAAGAAAATAACTTTGCCCAAGTTAAGCACGACGAACTGGTTCACTTTTTGCGCGAGAGAGAAATGGAGGCCCTGATCGCCTCGTACGGAAACTCGTCGTCGGCCTCAGGCTCCAAGTCGCCGGTTCCACCTTCAGATCTGAACAACTCTCAAAACCCGGCCCCAGCTCGGCCTCTGCCACCTCTACCACTTCGCGAAAGCCCCAATTCCTCAGGTAACCTCCAATTCCCATCAACTTTCTCTCTTTTTTTACTTTCTATTGAGATAGCTTTCTGCCAACCAAGTGTTTGGTCCTCCGAAGGATTTCTGGACTTGTCACTAAGCGATCGGCCGAGCAGAGTCAGGAACTTCCCTCACGTCAAGGGGAACTACGTAGTATATGTATACATCCCAGGTAATCAAATTCTCGAATTTTCAGCTGGATTAGCAAAAATGCGATCGCTTTGCAGTTAGATTTGCTTGTTCGTACTTTCAGTTTATATACCGCCAGCACCGAGGAAAGAGATGGCCTTGTTTTTTAACAAGCTAGCTTCGCTGGTGCCTGGTCTCCATGCCGTTGACGTTAACGTCCCGTTTGACATTCTGCGGAATGACAAGCACAAGCTCGAACAAGTTGCTTTAGGTAGAAAATTGCATATAAGTCTGGGAAGAACTGTCCAGGTTCAGGTACACCAGATTGATTCCTTGGTGACAATGCTGCGGCAGAAGCTTCAGAATCAGAGGCGGTATGGTTACATTTACATGAACTTTAGTACTGTTATTTAACACAGTGCTGCAAGCCTGCAACTTTTTTTGTACCCAATTGTCAATTTTTGGTTTTCAGTACAATTTATTGTTGTGAAACAGATATTGGATTGATTTTAGCAAATGGGAAGTTTTTGTTAACGATGATCGGACCCGGACATTTGTGTCGATAGAAGTCACTGATGCTGGGTTAGCTGAGGTATGATTTAGTAACTGTCTAATTTCATGGGTTTTGAAACTTCGATATCTGCTTATTAGCTTACGGATTGTTCAGTGCTAGATACACTTGTAACACGAAAAGTGAAAATGGACAAGAATGTCTGATATATTCATGGTTCTCATGCTGGTTGGTCCGGCATAAATTATGCGCCAAATTATTATGGGAGAGTAAGCCTTCACTATGTGCAATGAAACATAAGAAAGCTTAAACCATAGTTAGCTATAGCTTCTAGTCAAATTTAGTTTAGTGTAAGGTCTGTTGGGACGAGCAACAAAAGGGAACAAAATATTGGGGGATCTGATTCACCTCTGATATGCTGGAGGAGTAAAAGGAGAGAACTAGTAAAGGCTTGTAACAAGTTGGGTGACTCCTCATATTGCCTGTTGGTTTTACGGTGGAAGACTTGGAACCCCAACTTTCTTCAGGGTATCAGAGAAGGTTGGCCCACATGTGAAGCCCAACGGTCACACATGATTTACTTCACCCAATTTGTGTTGTCCATATGTTTGGCTTTAAAATTGGCCACACGTTAGGGAGCATGTGAGGGTGGGAAGGTAAAAGAATCTTACATTGGTAAAAGAAGAAACCTAGCAAGGGCTTATAAGGAGTTGGACGACTCCATGTTGCCACTTGGTTTAGTGGAACCCCAACTTCCTTCAATAACATGGTTACTCGAAGCATACTTGTTTTTCGTATTAATACATGCTTGAGTTAGGTTTCATTGTCAAATCACTGCCGTCACAGTGCTATAAGTCTGAGAGTTCTCAATTTCTATTGATTTCAGATAACAAAGCAGATTCAAGCTGTCAATGAGGTGTATAAGCTTCACAATCTTCCTGAATTTTACAAGGTTAGCATTTTTGTGCTTTACCGATCTCGAGCAATAATTGGAGCAAATGAATGTGCATGAATATTACTCAGAAAACTAATTCACTTCATGGGGTGTCGTTCATCGCAGGTTCCACGCCCTCATATATCGGTAGCTTGGGCATTGGGTGACATAAGCAATTCCCTGAAGAAAGTGTTTGAAGGAGAAAGAAGAAGATCTGCAGTTGGAAGATCATTACAGAAAAGTATTTTTACCAGTAAATTCAACGGCATCGAATGTAGGATTGGGAATAAAATACACAAAATATGTAAATTTTCTGAAGAATAATGTAATTGTTAAGTTGTTAACTATATACTGAAATATGTGTGAAACTATCAGAGTATTGAATATGAATGAAACGTAGCACTTTCAAGTACTACTCCTCGTTTTTGTATACGATTTCAGCTTCACCTCTACCTGCAGAGGTTCTTTGCTGGTATTGTTAACGACCTCCCCAATGGCCATTTCGACAATGTATTGGTTGTAGATCCTCGCGTACTTGAGGCGAAGAGTGACATTACTGATCCTCCTTCAAAGAAAATTTCTCTTCCACCTCCAGGTATGCCGCTCTGTCGACAGTGGAGGCGTTGGCATTGAGACCGCTTGTAATTTTGTTGGTGGCGGTAAATCTCCTGCATGTTGCGGAGAGCAATGGTGCCACCACCAAGCCTTACAGGCCAGAACAACGTGTTGGAGTCGTTGATGGTGGAGTCATCCGAGTCAGCTAAAAATCCAGTTATTCTTGGTGAGCCGTCAAAATTTACCTGTGGAGATGGACTTTATGCGGAGGCTGCCGTCGGCGTTGGTGAAGACTTGGTTCCCCTTCCCCACCGTTGGATCTTCAAGGTCAATGGATTCAAACAGCAGGTGCGGGTGTTGGTCGATCAGGCGGGGTGCTGAGGTAGTTTGTAGTTACCGTTATGGCCCTTGAACGCCACATCCAATCCATGACCGTGAACGCATACCAGGCCAGGCGAGGACAGACAATGCCGGTCGTGGAACGTATGTACTATTCGCTCTCTATTTCGAACTTTGCGTAATGGCTCCCGGCCTTCGCTCTGGTGAATTTTAGAAACCCCTGGAGCTGTCAATCCATCCAAATCTCCATCATATGCGTAGCGCAAGTTTTTGCTGTGTCGGCATTTTCATTCTCTTCGAGCAACAAAAGGAAAAAGGGGAAGATGTTGCACAAAGCAAGAAACCTTTAAATTTATTAAGATGTCTAGCCATTTTCCTGAACAATTGATGTATAAACAAGTTCTTGGTTACATAACAACTCAGGAGAGGATGTATGTATTGCATTGCATCAAAAGAGAGGAGAAAAAATAAAAAGTTTCTAAGTGGTAAGGGAACGACTAATGACGGCGTTGCACTTCTAATCAAAGGGATCGATCCGAGGGTCGTGTTCACTTGCCATCGCCATTCCAGTGCAAAGGCATGTAGGGCACATTACCTGCCAAATTACAGACACAATGTAAGCAATAGTTGACGTTTGGAAATCACCTCTCAAAAATTTGCTACCAAATTATCCTAAACTTCATTTCCGGTGCAATTTTTTTCTTCCAAAATGTTTTTCGCGTGCCCAACAAACACTAGTATCCTTCACCAAACATGCGAGTCAGCTATTCCAACGTATACGATGAGCCAAGTACAACTAGGCGGCAGGCAAGAAGGGAAATTTAGTATGCAATAAACATTCAATGACATTTTTATGTATCTAACCTTTCCCGCTCCAGAGCAGTTTGAACATCTTTCGGTTTTAGGCAGTGAGAGGGGCTGACTTCTGCCATCAACTGTTGATACTGGTTCAGTAAGAACAAGGGTTCCAGTGCTTGAGCAGCGAGCACAAGCAAGATATCCTGCATAAGTATCGAATACACAGATCAAGAATATAAAGAAGGTAGACTAGACACTAACAGGTAGCGAATTCAAAGCAATTAACCGTAATGGACATATTCTGGCTCAAGATGCAACCCTACATTTTGTAGATTCATTTGGTCCAACCCCAGTCGTTGACATGTGAAACCAATACAAACATCTCCATCTTATATATTTAAAGCTATAGCAAAACATATAACTAAAAGTGAGAAATATAGGACATTATCGTACCAGTTCCAATACAATATTTGCATCTTTTTTGCTCCTGCTGTTTCACATTGTTTATTTCAACTACCATCAATGCTGAGATCACTCCAACTGCTCCTCCTGAGAATGACGCCACGATGGGATCAACTTGGCTGCAGTTTGAAAGGATAGCAGATCAATAAGTGAAACTGGTAACAACATAGTATCAACATCATTTAGCTGCTTCATGTCAAGATAGATGACATCCTACATTTTCCAATGTGTAAAACTTTGAGGATTCTCATAAAATTTGACTATATCGGTTCTCAAAAGTAAAATTTAGTACTTTTGGTTCCTACATTACAGACAGAAAGTAGGAACTATTGAACTTAAAGATTCATATCAAGATAGATTATACAAAATTTCAAAACAATAATTACTAGAGAACGGGAGGGTTAAAAGCCCGAAATACGAGCCATACCTCAACTGCAACGGCAGATGCATATTTACTATAAAATCTTTATATGATGTGCCTCCTATCCCCAGCTTCAACTCCAGCTGGAAGACGTAAAGATAATTGTAGGCAAAGAGTTAGAAACATAACCGAATCCAGACTATACTTATTTGATAAGTTTCCTCATTTTCTTGAAAATTGAGAAACATATAGTCAGACCAGTAAAAGAAAACCAGAAAACGTTGGCTAACATACTCTCTGAGACAAATGTAATGTTTATGAATAACGGTTAAAACTAATTACAAAATGCATAACGAACTTACAGAGGGTGATATGAGGCCACCGAAAAGTATAAATCCCGCAATAATTGAATAACAGACTGCATAATACTGCTTAAGGTTTTCTGAACTCTGCAAGCAATGCATTCACAATTTTTTTATGAATCAACTAAAGGCTACCTAAAAATGTCGGGGAAATGAAATAGCCAAGGTTAATGAAACAGTGAAACCCTTATTAACCATGAACATACATGTCTTCATAGGGGCAAGCAGCTTACCAGGGGAGGCAAAATGGAATGAAAGACGGAAAACTAGGAAGTTCGTTTTCTTGGTCTAACGTTCCAAGCTCTGCGCTTTTGATCCTTTGTTGTATCCGCAGCCTGCGAACCTACACAGATTGAAGCTTATAAAGCAACCAACATACTCACGATTTCACAAATCACATTTCTGGCAAGAAAAATTATAACGAGTCTGTCTGAAATGGCAATCATATGCAACAACAAGCTAATACGAAGAAAGTGGGCTCACCTCTTCCATATGCAAGAAAATCTTGTTTCGTCGGCTTCGAATATTATCTTTGATCTCCTGCAACTCCATTTTGGCAAAGTCCTGCACCATTTCAGGCCCCTCTATAATACAAAATCTGCATAATTAAGCATGTAAAATAAGATTGAATAATTACAAGCTTTTGACAAAAAATAAAAAACTAAAAAAATAAAAATTACAGGCTACAAAGCAATCCGTATCATTGTTGGGGTTAATTAAGATCAACAGAAAATAAATCACATGGGTTTTTCACAGAAAGTTACAAACTTTTGAAGACCAGTAAACCGTCTGCAATCAGATAAATTTCAAAGTGCAAAGTAACAAACCAAAGCTTGGAACTTTGAATTTCCACTTTCTGTAAATTTCCCAGAGTGAGAGTGAGAGAGAGTACCCGGCGGGGTTTGTATCGCCGGCGGGATTAGGATCAGAGTCGACAGACGGACCGAAAGAAGAGGAATCGGGGTCGGACGCCATCGCCATGGATCTCCATTTGGAGGTGCTTGATTTGGGGCTTCTTGCGTAGCTGAATCCGGAGCAGCTAGAGCTATGCAATTTGTACGGGCAGTAACGATTCGGCGGGAAAGAAACGGCCAAAAGTCGGCCGGAACAGAGCATCTCTCTCTGTCTGTAAAACACCAGGTAGCAGAGCTCTCTGTTTATCTGAAAAATTGCGATCGTACAAATGGAGACGATCACAAAAGCAAATCTTGAAGCACTGCTAATGTGCAGAACACTCGTCAATTACCTAACACTAGGAGAAGTAGTAGGGGAGAGAGATGGTTCGATCGGCAAAAGAACAAATAATGGAGGGAAGTGGGTGATTCTTGTTTCTCTCAGGTTTTTTTTTAATTTATTACTTTATTTTATTTTAGAAAACTTAATTTTTAGTGGATCTAGTTTCGTTAGATTCGAGTTAGTTCATGGTTGTAGTACGCTTCAGTGCATATTAAAACATTACAATCTAATGATCTCCGATGATCCCACTAATAACGTTATTTGAGACATTGTCCTAAAAATCTTCATCTTGTGCCGCTTGGGTCCCATTTAAGTGCTAGATGGCTGGCAGTTACTCGAATTATTTTCTAGATGTTTGAAAATTAAAAAATTATGCTTAGACTTACTTACGCGTCCGTCTAGACCCGTTTAGACATTTTTTTAGGTCGGTTAGACCCCACCTAAGTCGTCTAGACTCGCGATTCTCACTTAAATAGAAATTCGACAACGTTCATTTTTTTTTGTTTAGTAAATTGTAGGATGCTTAGGATGCTTATTGAATGTCGGCTAGCCTTACCCCCATTTATGGAGAGGCTGGGTTCGAGACTTGGGAGCAGCCTCTCCATAAATGGGGGTAAGGCTAGCCGACATTCACCTCTCCCAGACCCTGCGTAAAGCGGGAGCCTTGTGCACTGAGTACGACCTTTTTTTAGTAAATTGTAGGATGCTTATTGAATACTTGGATAAATACTCATTATATGTTTGTTTCCTATATTTTCAAAATATTCATTTTATTTTACAATTTTATATATCCCCAAATAATTATGTATTTTTAAATATAAATAAATATTTATTAATACAATATATAATAAATTTAATTAAATCAATCTGCATAGAAACCCGCATAGCAGTCTAGCTACTATATTCCAGCTCACCGCCTAATTACCGTTTAACGTTTTTTAAATACTTGATTTGAGAGTTTGACTTGTCTCATGCAAACAATTGTACGTTCTACTTATACAAATTCTTTGCATTTTTTCTCTATTCTATTGAGTGAACATAACATGCTATAAATTTCGTTAAATTCCAAGAGATTTCCCAATGGGGCAATTTCCTATTTATTTTAAGAGAAATACTTAAGAGATTCGCTTAAAAGTGAGACTTTTTATAGATTCTCTGTCATTTTATATTTTTTACACAATATTTTATAACGTTGTATAGAGTCTTATTTTAAGAAAATCTCTCAAACATTTCTCTTATTTTAAACAAGAAAGAAAGTGACAAAACATGAGAAATCAATCATTTTCGTTATCTAATAGTGTCTCTATTTTTCTCTGGTGTTGTGTGTATCGTGTAACAAAATGAAAACGACTATCATCAATCATCATGGATTCATGGTTTTATTCTCATATCCATTAAATGTGGATAAATAGAAAAAGGAGATAATTGTAATTTTCATTTTTTTAGATATTTGTAATTAAATTAGTCCAATATTTCATGACCATGGAATATTGTTTGGTCTCAAATGCAATTCCATAAATGTTGTCTTCATCCTAGTCTTTTTCTGACTTTTGAGACCTTGGATAGAACATGGAATTAATATAAATCGGTTACAAACGCCAAAAAAGTCTCATCAACATTTGAAACAACGACGAAAGCATTTAAAAAACCAAAAGATATGCCAGTTTTTCAACAAACGATATTATGTTCTTAGAGAGGGGGTTAACTTAATTTCATAATAAGTTAGAAGTAATGTGGTTCAAATCTTCTTTAAGTGAAAATCGAACCTAAAACCTCTCTCACCAAATTATTGCCATTTTGAGATTATGGCAATAACTTGGTGGTGTTTGGTGATTGGATTTGAAATCAAACTTTGGGTAAGGTACCACATTTTGTGTTTTAAGTTTCGAGTCTCTAGTTAATAATTTCTGGTGTTCAAACAATCGCCACATCTGTTGAGAGCATCCACTAATTCGGAACTTAATTTTAAATTTGTGTTTTAATTTAGAGATGACTCTAACAATCAACTATTGACAATTAGTTCTCTTTGTATGAATCTTATTTTAATGGGAGCTTGATGAGTTAATCCGCTAGCTATCATGGTGCGCACATAAACAATTAATGTTTTACTAGATGTCTAGACAATTAATGTGCCTCATCGTATTTTACAAAGAACATCTAGCTCTAGGTCAAACTTTCGAGTCGATTACACTTTTTTGGTCTAGGGTTCGACTCTTGGATTTGAGTCATGGGCATGAGTTGCAATTCTATAGTCTTAGGTTTGAGGGGAAGAGATCCTCTCCGGTCTCTCCCACCAAAGTCATTCAATCCATTAATCCGGATTCTTGAAATTTGACCCAACGACTACAAACTAGATGTCACTTTAAAAATTATAAAAATTTTACCGATTTAATGAATGTACATTACGTTTTTTATTTTGTAATAATTCATCATATTTTATTCAACGACGGCAACTAACGACCCCAAAACGGCGGCTACTAGGGGTGGGTTCAAAAAACCGAAAACCAAACCGAACCGAAACCGAAAAAACCGAACCGAACGAAAAAACCGAACCGAATTGAAAAAACCGAACCGAACCGAATTCTTTTGGTTCGGTTCGGTTTTAGTGATTTAGAAACCGAACTAAACCGAACCGAACCGAATTAATTAAATTAATTTTTTTTATTTAATTATTTGTTTTGGGTATTATTTTCTAAACCCAATTTGTAAGTTAAAATGTGCTAAACCCAATGTGTTGCCAAACTTTAAGCTCAAAATATTTAAAAAATGCCTATAAAAACTCTAAACCCTAACCTATTATTTATCCCCCATATAAGGTTCCGGAACCAAAACTCCTCCAGAAGTACCTACATCCATCTCCATAGCACTGCCTACTTCTGCCCTAGCATTCTTTTCCAAATCTACTCTCATATAACATGTAACAGAATCCATAAACATTTATTTCGGGTAGATTACTTGGGTAATTTGTGATGGAAAAGAATCTAACACACACTAAATAAATCCACCCACGCATTATTTTTACTAATCAAGTTGTCAACATGCAATTACAAGCAAACAACCTTGATCTTTGAACAACATCATACAATTTAACTTTTCTAAGTCATTTGTACGATTTTTGTGTTGTGAGGTTGTTAGTTTGGACTTTGGAAGACTTGATTGATGATTTTAGTTCAATTTTAAATGTTTATTTTCATTGTCTTTGATTCTAGTTAGAATGCTTATGTTATGATTGTGTTGGATATGTTAAAATTTAAAATTTCAATGTTTTTCATTTTTTGAAAAAAAAAACCAAAAAACCGAAACCGAACCGAAAAAAAATGAACCGAACTGAACCGAAATTTCGGTTTGGTTTTGGTTTTGGCAAAAAACCGAACCGATTTAAACCGAACCCACCCCTAGCGGCTACGCTCCCTTTTGTTTTACAAACCCTAGCAAAACCTCCCCTTAGAGCAATTCCACCCATGGAGCCCTTCCCCCTGGCAATCCACTATTCAATCCACCCTATTAAACAGTAACTGCCTTAAATGAATAGTAACTACCATTAATGAACAGTAATTGTCATTTACATCTCCACCCTTAGAACCCTCCCCTGGCAATAAGCAATTAAAATAATAGTTTTTGTTTGTTTAAATAATAAAAAACCCCCTCTCTCTCTCCTCTCTCTGACACAAAAAACATAAAATATTGCAAAGCCCTCGGGCCACAGGCCCGTCGACTCCCCACCCCCCCCCTTCGCTCGGGCTCCCACCCTCACTCGGGCCCTTCCCCGCTGGAGCTGCTCCCACTGGCCCTCAGGCCCTTTCTCCTCCCCTGTCGCCCGAGCAACCAGCATCCGCTGGAGTTGCTCTTATAAATACCATCACATCCGCCGCAGGAGCCATCAGATGCTCCTTTATCTTCACTTTCACACACTAATCCTCTCACATAGACGGTAGGGAATCCAGTTGCTTCTCCATTCCGGAAAGCTTTCCTTGTCCATATTTTTACACCATCGCCTCTGTTTTTTTATTTATTTACTTAATAATTTGAGTAATTTCATTTATCCCTGCTATATTTCAGATATTCAGCTTGTATTTTATCAAAAAAATAAAAAACTCACAGTCTATGGGTTTTTTTTTTTTAATTATTAGATGAGGCAGGTGATGATTTATACATATTTTGCTACATTTCTTGATTGTCTCATATTGTTGAGATAGTGAAAAAACTCAAATGTATCTGAGGCCGGCCTTCCTCTTGGGAAGAAGAACAACCTTTTATTTTTTATGTTATTTTAATTTTGGATTAAATGTGATAACTTGTATTAAAATATACAAAATCCATGTATTTTCATAAAAATCAAAAATAAATAAATGGTTAAGAAGAACTGCAATGAGCTACACCTCTGATGGATTGTTAAAGTTGAGAAAAAAATAACATTTTTAAAAAACTCGTTGTGCACATATTGGATAATGGTGGTCCTTTTCACACTTTTTTTTTTATCTTTTATATATCCATTTCAATTTTTGTCAATATGATCATATGAACTAAAAAAATATTAAAAGACAAAAGTTAATAAGGAGTGTATAGAAAGTAAAAATAAGAGCGTGGATAACCACTCATTGGACAAACACACAATGGGTGAACTACCAACATATAGAAAAGAATTTTTTATGAGATTTTTTCCGATGCTTCAATTAAAATGTCTGCAATCATATAGAAAGGAGAATGGATAGAGATCTCATCTATATAATAAAAGTTGGATAGATGAACTGAAATAGTGCATTGGATGTATAGTGCGACCTACGTATACCATTAAAATTCAAAGAAAATTTTCATAGGACGATAATAAGGCCAACAATACTTATGACACATAATGTTGGGTCAAGCATCAATACATGCAAAAATTAAGGTGTAGCAGAGATGAGAATTATTTGTTGGATGTATGGACCCACGAGAAAGGACATGAAAGTAATTAGAATATCCAAGATAAAGTAGGAGTATTCGCAGTTGATGATAAGATGAGAGAAAATCAGTTAAGCTGATTTGAACACGTGAACCGAATACTATAGATGCTTGGTTAGAATATGTGATTATGGACAGAGAATCAGACAGAAGTGGTAGAGGGAAAACTAAGAGTACTTGGAAAGAGATTTTAAAAATAAATATAGAGTGTTTGAAGCTAACGAAAAACTTAACGCAAAATCTAAAGCGATTACGTTCTAAAATTCATAAAAACAAC